AAACACAGATATACCTCGGAGGCCACAGATCCTCCACACATCAGTCATTCAAACGACCGCAGACACACGCTTAGAAGCCACTCCACAAATGGAGCAAGACAATCTCGACCTCGTATCCACAATGGAATAAAATTACGCTCCAAAATACAAACCACAGAAATAAAGGTACCGTGGGAACTTACTACGAAAAAAAACGCCACCAAAAAGGCAAGGAACACAAGAAAGAAGTACGGAAATTAGGAAGCACAATAGTTAAGCATGCAAATTGGGAGACCACAAGAGGCGTGATCATCTCGTCCCCTCCACGCACATGCAAAAAAAAAAAAAAAAAAAAAAAAAAAAAAACGCCAGCCCTCACTCCACAACACTTACACCTTGCTTGCATCGTCCCGGCATCCTTCCCGGCCCTTCCTCTTCCCATCTGGCCACCCACGACGCAAACACTCACCTTAACTTCTCGGCAAACTTAAAGGAATACACTGCTCCCCGCGGAATCTCATAACACCCAGTAGGCAGCTTCTGGGGCTCTCGGCGCCCCTGACTGCCGCCCATGGGCCTCGGTGCCGCCTTCGCTCGCTGCGGTCTCGAGTCGTCACCGCACGGACGTCGGAGCCCATCGACCCGCCGCGAATGACTGACAGACTCGAGCGATTTCAACTGCTTTGCTAAAATGAGAGAGATTAACATCCGGCACAGGATGCTGATCCCTCGGCCTTGAATCAAAAGGTCAATAGCGCATATTTGCAAAAGGCCCCGATTTTCGGTTTAATAAACGAGCGCCGATGACGTCATTGTTGAACCCTTGTCTTTCATTCTCATTGCCTATAATTACGATGTTCTGAGACGTGTGTGTGTGTGTGTGTGTGTGTGTGTGTGTGTGTGTGTGTGTGTGTGTGTGTGTGTGTGTGTGTGTGTGTGTGTGTGTGTGTGTTGTGTGTTGTGTGTGTGTGTGCGCGCGCCGCGCCGCACTCCACTGGGAATTAAAGCTGCCGGCAGAGAGAGGCAACCCTCACCCAACGTGAATTACACGGGGGAAACCTAGCATCGGCGTGAACTCCCCGTCGGAGAACAGCGCCCTCCAGCAGGCAGAGAGAGCAGGCCAAGCAGGGCGATTAGGCCGCGACCTGCAAGAGATGATTAGGGCGCGACACGTGGAGCCAGCGAGAGCCCAAAAGGGAGCGAGCGAGACTGACGCAGTGACGCAACCTGTCACGGCTTAATTGGGAAGGAGGCGTCCTCGCGACTTTCCTAATAGCCGCAGCGCCGCGTCGTCTGCCACGCTCTGCCAGGGCCCGAGAGCCTTCTGCCAGCGTGGGAACAAATAAAGGGCGTCCTCTGCCTCCCGCCCACGGCCCGTCTTCAGAGCAGGATCAGTCGGCGGACAAACACGGGGGCGGAGAAGACCACGGGAAGTTTTCCGGCGTCGCCACTGGCTCGCACCGAACCTAAGCTCGCAGTTTGTCTAGGGAGGGAAAAGTTGCTGAAAGAGCTTTACAAACTCGTCCAACTTCTCGCCAGGAAGTGTCCCGGCCTTAAAGCGACGCCAGCCTCCGTCACATCCTCACTCCTGACAACTGCGCATTGTCTCGGCCTAATTGCACCCTTTCAAAGCCGCGGTCCAGAAGAGCTCGAAAGCCGACGGTTTTCGGGGCGCACTCACAATCTCACCACGCGCGCGCGAGGACGTCCCCGCTGCATCACGTACGAGATAATGGCTTATCTGCCTCGCACAGAAAGGCTTCGTCCACCCTGGCACACACGCATATTCTATAAATACTCACTCGATCCAAAATAAAAAAAATATTTAAAAACAATATGAAAAAAGTTCACAGTCTAGGAAAAAAAAAAATAATTACTGCATAATGCATGCTACCCCATGCTGTCACACACAGTGGCATTTATTCCATCCGTATTCCACCGCTGTTCCCCATTTGTGTCTAAAACATATGCACAGGGAGAGCGGGGATGTTTATGCGTCTGGAAGAGGCGGGCGGCAGAGGGGGGTGGGGGTGGGGGGAGGAAAGGAAAAAACAGAGGGTCAAGGGTATTTAAGCGCACGTGTATGTATGTATGTATGTATGTATCGGCGGATGGATGGATGGATGGATGGATGGATGGATGGATGGATGGATGGATGGATGGATGGATGTGGATGGAATGGATGTGGATGTGGATGTGGATGTGTGTGTGTGTGGTGGTGTGTGTGTGTGTGTGTGTGTGTGTGTGTGTGTGTGTGTGTGTGTGTGTGTGTGTGTGTGTGTGTGTGTGTGTGTGTGTGTGGCGCGGCGCGCGCGCGCGTCTCAAATCAGAAAAGCGAAAGGAGGCAAGTAAGGATCGGGCGGAAAAAGATAGGAAAGTACAGAGAAAGAAAATGAGGAACGAACGAAGGAGGGAAGGGAAAAAGGAAAGGAGAGGAGGGTGCGTGGAGTCCTACATGTGGAGGAGCAGACGGACACGATGGAGGAGCGGCGGGAGTCGAAGCGAGGTCCCGTCGGCAAGGAGAATCTCCGCTTGGTCCTGTCCTTAAAGCCCGACGCCGTCGCCTCCACCACCTTCTCGCTCAGCTGCGCCAGGTGAGAACAGGGCGGGTCAGACTCGGCCAGGTCAGGTCGGGTCACCTCGCATGCACGGAGGCACACCACGAAGCGGGTGGTGACGGGAGGGGGGCACCACGGGGGTGGTGATGGTGGTGTTGACGGTGATGGTAATACTGGTGGTGGTGGTGGTGGCGGTAATGGCAATACTGGTGATGCTAATAACGATGAAGGTAGTGGTGTAATGAGGATGATAAGCGATGATGGTGATGGTAATGTTGGTGATAATGGTCGTGTGAACGATGAGGATGGTTGTGTCGATGATGAAAACAAAGATGACTTCGATTTATCCTAAGGCAATAACATCAATATTTGTAACAGTCTCTGTGGTTCGCAATCACAAGTCATAAGCGGCACTGCTTTGATTTCCGTCAAATTAAAACGTAGAGAACATCGTATACTCAGCCAGTAATATATTTCACTAAAAATAAGCACGTCATATCACATCTCACACCCACAGGAAGACAACAAACTCGACCTGGTGCACAAATAAACACCAAAAGTCCCCTTTTTGTCTCCGGCGTCCTTCCCTCAGAGCAAGATCAAGGTCGGTCCGCTGGCACTCCTCGTTTCCCCGCCTTCCAAAAAAAGAAAAAAAAAACGAAGCGTACGCAATATACTAATTGTTTTTCCCCATCACGTAATCCCACGTGGAAATACCAATGCCTGACGAGCGGCGTCCGCACATCGCTCACTTATCCGATTACCTGTCTCGCTAACACGCGCCAAAAATCGAATTCCAATTTTGTGCTTTACACCCCGGCTTGAACATCGATACCCAAAGAAGTGGAAACAAGAGTAAATCGTACACACACACCCAATACCCTCACTCTCAATCTCGCACTTACACTTACACTCTCACTCTCACTCTCGTGTTCATACAATCATTAAATGTTACACCCTCTCACACACTTTCAAGCGGTTACAGACACAGGCACAGACACACACACACATACACATACACAAACAAACATAAAAAAAACACACACACTCCTCTCCCCACTTACCCCTAAACGCACGAGGCAGCCGCACCCCCCCCCCTCTCTTCCATAAGCGAATACATGTAAAACTTTCTCACTGTCACTTTCATCTTCTTCCCACAGAACACACGCATCGCCGTCCCCGCGCCTCCTTCAGGCATCCTCAAAGGACTCAAAGGGGGAAGAAGAGGAAAAGGTTCGGCGACGATTGAAAATTCCATCGCAGTATTTTTCTCTCTTTTTTCCGTTCTCGTTTTCCCGTTCTCCCTCTCCCTTAGGTTCCTCCGTCTTCACATATTACCTAATCTCTTCCCCCTCCCCCTTCCCGCATCCCTCCCTCTCCCTCTCTTTTCGAAATAATCACCTTCTCCCTTACTCTCTCCCCTCTCCCTCTCCTCTCCCTCTCCCTCTCTCCCTTTCTCCCTCTTTTTGAAGTCCTCCTCGATAAGGCGACCGCTATCCAAACATCATCAGCTTGGCTTAGGTGTCCCCCTACTTCTTCATTATACTAGAGTGATCTCCCATCATCTCTCTACACTTTTCTCCTCGTCCATTATCTACTTTCTGCTGTGAAGAGGGAGGGGAAGAAGGAGGAGGAGAGAGAGGAGAAGGTGAAGGAGGAGGAGGAAGGAGAAGGTGAAGGAGGAGGAAGGAGAAGGAGGAGGAGAGGAAGGAGAAGTGAAGGAGGAGGAGGAAGGAGAAGTGAAGGAGGAGGAGGAAGGAGAAGTGAAGGAGGAGGAGATTAAAGAACAGGAAAAAGAAGAAGGATAAAGAAGATGACGAAAAAGCGATGATGAACAACAATAACAACAACAACGAAGACGAGGACGAAACAAGTGACACGCACCCGATCGCAGCGGGCGCGAGGGGCGGCAGCCGGCGGCCGGCCACTTGTTCGAGAAAAGTGCAGGTCACTGGGTGTCGTGACGCTTCGAGGCCCCCCCCCCACCCCCACCCGTAATCCCCTTGCCACCACTTGAAACCTTAAGAGCGGCTTTTCATGTTCTGCTTTTCTTGTTCTCCTATTTCGTTCCTCCTAT